GAGAGAAGAGAGGGGGAGAGAGAGAGAGAGAGAGAGAGAGAGAGAGAGAGAGAAAGCTCTTGTGCTAGTGAAGGAATGAATAGCCAGTAAGAGCAACAGCAAACAGGCAAAGAGCAAACAAGCTTCTTTTTTCCATGTCCTTTATATAGGTTGCCAGCAGGAGGTGTGGCCCAGATTAAAGGTAGATCTTCCCACTTCAAATTATATATATTCCATATTCCTGTGTGGTTACTAAAGCCTCTCTCAGAGCCCAGAGAGTAGTGAATGACCATAGAGTGAACTATTTTACAAACTTATGGAGATAAATATATTTGATTATCCTGATTTGCCAATTGTGAGAAGAAATAGATTTAATGACTTCATGTATAAAACTTTTGAAAATTTGTGGGGGAGGAAAAAGAAAAATGATGATGCCATTGGTTGCTCCAAGCTTCTCTGGAAAAATTGACAAAGGAAAAGAACGAGCTTTGTGATAAAAATTAACCAACTTCTGAAGTGATCCATGTGAGATAGTTACAACCATGTTGATTAAGCCAATTAAAAGTTTCAAGTCCTTTCTTAATGGTTCTGTTCCTCTAGAGAATCCTGACTAACTCAGTTTCCTTAGAATAAATTTCTAGAAGTCAATTACCAAGTCAATAATCTTAAACCTGTTCAATCATAATAGACGGTCCCTCCTGAACTAATCAATCCAACTTACACTTTTTGCCATTTGAGAAAGTGAGCCTTCTCATATTATGGGTTGTTTTGGGGTTTTGCCAATGAATTTTCTAAAAAATAAAACATCACTCGATGTTTTGATTTTCAATCTAGAAATCATTGCTAAGATTGAGTATCTTTCCCCTTTGAGCTTTGGTGGTTTTCCTGTGATGGAGTTCTTCCTCTTGTCATTTTCCTGCCTTGCTGTATTTTCATTAGCTTGCTAATAAAAGGAACTATGTGTGTTAGGAAAACTGTCTTTGACCTGAAATGTTTAAAAGTTGAAACTGTGCTTTCCTTTGCATAGACATTCTCTCATCTGGCAATGGGGTATGGACGGAAAGCCACTAATAACTTGCTCAGTAGTTAAAAACAAAACAAAACAAAACAAAAAACTATTTCTGTGAAGCCTTAAAGCTTGAGCCTACATTGCCCAGTCGAAGTGAAATATGCTGATTAAAAAAAATCAAGTGTTCTCTCTCAGTTTAGGGATTAGTAATTTTATTCTGTATGTTGTTTTTTAAATTGAATTATTACAGCAAAAATGAGGTCAAGCCCCAGAGTTCAACTTGAAGATGTACTGTGACTTCATTTAATTCAACACAACCACGGTTCATGTTTCCTGGTCTAGAACCACCTGCCATCCTGAGGTCAACATTGTCACCAGACCTGGGGAAGAGGGGCTCCAGCCCCAAGCCTGTAAATCTGACAACTCACATATCACAAACCCACAGTCAGAAATGTGTCTGGCCACAGCCCTCAAAGCCCAGCTTTACACGTATCATTCAGCCTGAGAGGCATGGCAGTATGTTTTTCAAAGGCGAAAGATTTGTTTTACTTACATTTTGTTAGCTGAAGTTATAACTTTAAAATATTTGTATATACAGGCACATGGGCCTCTACCACAACCTTGTCTAGGCCCCAAAGACGTTATCAGTGGATGGGGCAAAGGGAGAGGGTGCCTTTGAGTCATTCCTTGAAGGGCTTTGCACTTCCAAAATATGTTACTTGGAAGCAACAGGAAGTGTTGCTGATTCCTGATGAGACGGTGTTGACATCTTACCCTTTCCACTAGCATGCTGTATGACCTAGGACAAGTCATTTAGTGTTTCTGAGCTCAGAAACTGTAAAATCTCAATGACAACTCTTTGCTTGGTTGTGAGAATTATGTAAGAATGACCATGTAGGACTTAGCACAGCTGAGTGCACTGAGCAAACATGAACGAACTGATTCTGAGGTACTGTTGCTATTATTGCTACTCTGCTCTCTGCTCTAACCACCCACACAATTTTAAAAGCTTTCAGAATGCTGAGCACACTGGTAACTAATCCTATTGTTCTCCAATTGAATAGGATCATGGGAACCGCCTATTAAAGACCTGTCAGAGAGGAGGCTCCCAGGTGTCAATCCCCTTCTTCAGATCCGAGGGACTTCCACCATCCATTTTGCAATGTGCATAAGACCCAGATCTTTTTTTATTTTTTATTTTAGGAATGTAATTTTTTGCAGATTTTTTTATTTGAATTAGAAACATAATTGTTTTATATGACAATCCCAGTTCCCTTGTCCATTCTGTCCTCCCCTACCACCACCCCGCAACTAAAACCCTACCTATCACATATCCTTTCTGCTTCCCGGCCTTCCATCCTGTCCTCCAGGCCTTCCTTATCCAGGTCCTATCTTTATAATAAGCTAAGCCGCCCCAGTCACCCTTGTAAGATTCCTCTCTTTGGGAGTATTAAAAACAGATAATTCAAAGTGGATCTAGAGACCCACCTCCACCCCCTCAGGATACCCAGGGAGACTTCAGGTTGGTGGGTCAAAGCACCACAGTTTTGAGAGAACTGAAGTTCTAGGATTATCATGAATCTGAGTTTAACAATTATCTTCTGCTATACCTACCGTGGCTGGGAAGAAAGGTGAATCTTCACTCAGAAGTATTTGAAATTTTATACCCAGAGCCTGGGCCTCACTCTCCACAAGTGGCTCATGATGCCTTGAACTAAAATTTCATAGTGAAAGCGTGTTTTTACCTTCAGTGCTCAACAGCTACACAACTACACTTGTGTGATGATGGAGATGGTGATAAACTGTGGTTATAACAATGGTGATAGTGATAAAAATAGGGTTTGGTATCTTCCTATGGAAGATATTTAAGCAATTATCATGTTGCAATTAATATTTTTGGTTTTAGACAACAGGCTCTCCCTCTGCTGTAGCTCAGGCTGGCCTCAAACACAGAGTAATCCTTCTGCCTCAGTCCCTCAAGTAACCAGATGACAGGTATGAGCCACCATGTCTGACTGTTATTAATGCTATAGCAAATGAAGGCAGAGGTTGAAGGTGGGACTGCAGAATAGACTGGGGTGTTTATTGCAACAAAGCTTTCTGACTTTTCTTCACTAATAAGTAAGTGTTACTTATAGTTCCCTTTTTACATAACAAGAAATAGTTGACAGCTGATTTCTTCCCAGTAATATGCCCCATATTCTTTTTTTTTTTTTTGATGGAAGATAAGTTTGTATTTATGTACAGAAAACTTAGCAGTTTTAGTAGCGAGTTCTTTAGCGTTTGCCTTTTCCAGCTTGGCAATTCGAGCCACAGATTTAGGACCCAGGACATTGCCTCCCCAGTGGCGTCGGATCTCATCATATCTGTCGTTGTAATTGGTCCTAATAGCTTCCACCAGCTTAGCCAGAGCACCCTTGTCTTCCGAGTTAACCTGTGAGAAGGCAACGGTGGTACATGTTTTCCTGTGGACCAGTCATCCCAGCCTGGCTTTTCCCTTGATGATGCAGTAGGGGACCCCCATCTTCCGACACAGGGCAGACAGGAAGACCACCATCTCAATAGGGTCTACATCGTGGGCGATTACCACCAGCTGAGCCTTCTTGTTCTCCACCAAGGTGGTGACTGTATTGACTCCTGCTCGAAGAACAGGTGGCCTCTTAGTTGGGACATCCCCTTTGCCAGCAGCCTTCTTCTCAGCACGGGCCAACAGCCTTTGCTTCTCCTGCTTTGTCTGTGGCCTATATTTGTGGGCAAGCTTGAGCAGCTGGGTAGCTGTTTGCCAGTCCAGGGCCTGGGTGAACTGGTTAATGGCAGGAGGAACTTTAAGCCACTTATAGAGGATGGCCCTTTGCCTTTGCAGCCAAATGTATGGGGGCCATTTGACGAAGCATGTGAGATCTCGTTTGGGCTGGATGTCCTGCCCACTGCCGAAGTTCTTAGGCCTTTTCTCAAACAAAGGGTTCACCACCTTCTTGGCCTCCTGTTTCTTCACGACTGTGGGGGCTGGGGCCACCTTCTTCCCCTTGGCCTTCTTTCCCTTGGGCATCTTGCTCGGCTGCAGAAGAGAGAGAGAGCAATGCTCCATATACTTACTCCCATATTTCTGTAGGAGTAATTTTTTTTTACCTTTAGTGATGTATACGTCTATATGATTTTTGAGATATTGAAATATTGAACAATTAAAGTCATGTATGGGAAAGATGGCTCTGAGTTTTATATAATCTAGCAATAGAAGATGCATTGATTTCACATTTCACCCAGCTTAGCATTCTATTTGATACTTGTTCAGTATCTGAACTAGTTCACAAGCGTTCAGCCTGGCTCTAAATAAAGCAAGCATGGGACCTTGGCCCACAGAACACCTAATCCCCTCTTGGCAGGCTGTAAAGCAGAGTGAGGACATAAACTACTCAAAATGGTAGAAGAACAAAGCCTATCTGGTGCTACCCTTCCCAACTCAGCATGCTCCTGCAGAGCAAAGGACTCTGGGAAAAAAGGCTCTAGCTAAGAAGCTCCGATGGGACTTGGTACGAAGTCTCACGTCTCCTTTAATGATGACAGCTTCTACTTTTATAGGTAACAGTGTACTTGGGGAGGAAAACAAAACTCTGGAAGGAAAACATGACCCATTTCCTGTGATGGGAGAGCATTCCAATACATACAAATGTTCAAAGCTTTTAAAAGGCTAAGGAAATATAATGAGCATATCAAAATTTCTCTTTAAGAGGAAAAGCCTCCTCTTTGAAGACCAGGGCTAAAAAGAAGCTGAGAGATGGGAGGAGCTGACACAGACCCATACAGGCTTTCTTAAAATTAAGTAAGTGGGAGGAGTGTTGATGGAGGCTGGCAGAGCTAGATTCTGACACTAACACATTATGTGGGATGTGGGCACATTGCCCCATCTCCCTGGACTTCTATCTAGGCACTCCACAGCAGCTACGGGCATTCTACAAAGTGCTCATTAGTGTCTTCCAACTTGGGAGTGGTTCATTGATCAAAATCACTCAAGAGAACACAGTGAATCTTTTGCCATTTTCATTAAAACTTTGCCTGTTATTTCATAAGAAACTGGGGACCCAGGGGGCCATGCTGACTAACACAAATGAGGACTTTCAATATTCATGGTCAAATTATACTTTGGTTTTCATCCTTTGGGAGCTGGAGAGATATACTAGAGACATCTATTTCTCAACATCTTCTTAACTCTCAATTGGTTTTTAGTGTTTGAGACACCTCTGAGTGTTGGTAAGACTTGGCTTGCTCTCCTTCCTAGATAAGGCAGTGGTTCTACCTGTGGGTCACGGCCACTTTGGGGGAGTTCCATATTAGATGTCCTGCATATCATATGTTTACAATATTATTCATGACAGTAGCAAAATTACAGTTATGAAGTAGCAACAAATAATTTTATGATTGGCGGTCACTGAAACATGAGGAGCTGTATCAAAGAATTACAACATTAGGGAGGTTGAGAACCACTGATTATAGATAAACTAGTTCAGCCAAAAAAATAATTCTTTGGGCACCTGCTAGATGCCACCAACCAAGTCACCATATGGTCTTTTGCCCTGAGTGTGGCCTTTGAGACCAACACATTCTGTTTGGAGTCAACAGACTTCAAATGTCAAGTCTCAGTGCACTGTGGATGTTTCTGACTGATTCTCTGTTTTAGCTAAAAACTATGCCTCATATCATCACTCTAGATCCTAGGAGACCTCAAGCATGAGAGTAGGCTTAATTTAGGAAGTAGTAGTGATATCACTGGGGGCATTTCCTTAGGGGTTGTAGCCTACCAAACACAAATGTGGATTAACTAGAAATATATTTGGTCATTGTTCCCTATTACACCTGAGTTTAAGTTCAAGTAGTGATTTAGGATGAGGTCCCTAGATGACCTCAGCTGGGACTGGTCACCAGAAATACCAAGTGGTAAGAGGGTGGACACTTTCAGCCCCATCAGTTGACCTTAGAAGGAAAGGAGGGCTGCCTAGAGACTGAGTACCATAAATGCTTTTGAAATCTGGGGAGCTTCTGCTACAGAGTGATGTTCACCTTGCCCCTGCACACTTTGGCATTCATAGAAATGATAAGAATTGAAAACAAGAAAGTATTCACAAGCCAAATCTGAGGAAGGTAGCCCTCAAACTTCCCAAGGGGATACTTACACAATAAACAGAGTGGTCTGAAGTGTGGGGACAGGCAATAGGAGGTGGGTTAAAGTGAAATGATTGGTAATCAAATCCCATCTATTTTCATAGTAAGGTAGGATAGAAAGCAAACACCCAGGGACATGAAAACAGAGAAGCACCCCTCCCATTCCTCCCATTCTCCACCTGCTTTGTATCTCTTGCTGATTAAGAAGCAAGAATGAAATGAACAAACAACAAAACATTTCAAAATTATATTTGGCGTGTGTGTGTGTGTGTGTGTGTGTGTGTGTGTGTGTGTGT